TTGGGCTGCCTGGTTGTGAAGAGGGTGTGGGGCTGCGCCAGGTCACACTCCTTCCATCGTACCTGCAGCTGACTGCTGGCAACTTAACAGCAGGCCACGAGCCAGCCTATGACCAACGTCCTTTCAGGGGAAACTTCCCGCTCCCGTAGGAGCCGTCACTCTGCCAGCTTGCTAGCACCCTAGCACCCTGCTCCGTATCGCCAACAGCTGGTTGGACCAGGATCTAGGACCTGATCCAAGTAGGGGCATTCCTAGCCTCTCCTGGAAACGAAAGAGTCCAAGGAGATGAGAACCAGGGAGGTGGAGAGCCCTGTAACTAAGCACTCCAAGGCTGCCAAGAGTAGATCCACAAAGGGGCAGGATGAAAAAGACACTGGACGGGAAACTCAGGCTAAAAAATTGGGTCAGGCCGGAAAGGTAATAGGCAGGCATGGATCAGGCAGTTCACGTTGAGTAGGGGAGGAACAATACGGCAAAGGACAGTGGAAACGACCGCACAGTTTGAGGAATGTAATCAAGGTCATGGCTTTGTACTGTGTATATAAGCAATACAACAAAATAGAAATGAATTATTTTTAAAAACAGAGGCAGAGTCCTCAGAACTTCTAATGGCTTTCCTTTCCCGCTTCTAGCTCATCACGAGACTGCTGTTCTGGGCTCTCACATGTTAGGTCTCACTGCCACCGAGTCAATGCTGACTCATAGCGACCCTATCGGACAGGGTAGAACTGCCCCTGTGAGTTTCTGAGACTGGAACTCTTTATGGGAGTAGAAAGTCTCATCTCTTCCCTGTGATTTTGAACTGCTAACCTCACGGTTAGCTGCTCCATGGGTAACCACTATGCCATCAGGACTCCTACTACAAGTTACATCCTAACTTTTAATCAAGTATTAATCACATTTGCTCCAGTGAATTTGAAGTATATTTTAATGGCTTAAAAGCCAAAGACCTGGCCTAAGACAGTTGCCCTTCTGGCCCCAGTTCCTTGAGTGTTGGATTTACGTCCCAGGAATTCTGATGGCATTTCTTTGCTGCTCTGCTGTGTGTTGATGCCACAAAGCCATCCATCAACCCAGATGATCTGCTTTATCGCTACAATCAGCCAACCCGGCCGTGGGAGCAAGTGCCTGCTGGTGCTTGGCTAGGAGCGCCGCTGAGTCATCTCATTTCTTGCTGTCTATGAACGTATCATTCCATAGCTTAACCATTTCCCCCAAACGCCAGCCTGGTTTTGCCTGTGAGGTTTTCGGTGGGTCTTTCTTTTACCCAGCACATCTTCTGGTGAGTTTTCCTTCTTCACATCCTGTTGGGACAACAGTCTCTCTGACAACATTCTCAACTCAAAGAAGCAAACGCACTGCCACCGAGTCAATGCTGACTCATAGCAACCCTGGGGGGAGGGGAGAACCGCCTTTGTTTCTGAGACTGTAACTCTTTCTGGGAGTAGAAAGCCTCCTCTTCCTCCTGAGGAGTGACTGGTGGTTTCGAACATGGGACAGACCGTGCCTTCAGTAGCCCAAATGCACAACCACCGTGCTAGCAGGGCTGAATGCTCGACAACATCAGCTGTGTGAAAAGGTATGCTGGGATGGAATATCTGAAGGGGTTGATGATTTTCTTGCCAGGGCATAAGTCATCCAATGCGTACTTGATACATACACTGTTGCTGTCCTTTCTGCCAACTTGGCGTCCACTCATGGGGACCTTATGTATGAAAGAGCCGCTGCCTGCTCGTAGGCCATCCTTAGGTCCAATGGACACAGGTTTGAGGGCCCTCATCTCCCAGCACACAGTGGGTAGCATTCTGCTGTGGGTTTGCTGTTGGCCACTTTCAGAAGTAGACTGCAGATCTGTCCTTAGATTGAACGTGTTCTCCATGAGTCATCCTGCTGGTACTGAAATACCAGGGGCTGAGCTCTAGTCTCATAGCAACCCGCAAGCCACCTGTTCCGTGATAAACTGACAGACAGGTGGTGCTTACATGAGCATGTCAGAAGCAGACCCCCCCAGCCCAATGATTGCCCTCAGCAGACAGACCTGACAGAGGAGAAAGGATTGCCCAAGGAGCAAAAGGCTCAGAGCAGTTTTCTCCAAAAGGTGATCTCACGTACTTGGGTACCGCTTCCAAAAAATGTGGTTTTGCGGTTCAAGCTGGAAGCCTCGCTTGGGAAGTGTCAGGGCTCTCAAGGTAAACGAGCTACTCAGGCAATTTTGAAGTGTCATTGGTTATGAGCCAAGAGCAGCAATGCAAATCCAAGCAGACTCATTCGACTTGATTTCACATGAAACGTTTCAGGCAGTGTGTCTATAGGAAAAGTTCAAGTCGTAGGTCTGCTTCGAAGACTCTCACTCCTGGAGGAAAAAACAAAACAATGACCTCAGAGTCTCCTAAATTGGATTATAAATTGGGACTCAAACCTCTCCATCTGGACCCAGGGGCTTGTGATCAGATGTTCTGGAAGCACGCGGGACTGGGAGAGGTGTGTGTCTCCCCCAGAAACAGGAAGGAAACAACAGTAACAGCACAAAAAGAAATCTAACAGCAACAACAAAATCTCAAGGTGCTCTGTAAACCACCTGGATCAGAATCATCAGGAGGGTCTTATTAAAAAACAAACAAACAAAAAACCGGAAACAGGTTCTGAGGTTCAACTCTAGATCCACTGAACCAGAACACCTGCCTACAGGACTAGGGGTGTTGTGTGTTTGCTTCTAACAAGTTCTGGAGGCATTTCTTACACATAGTACAGTTTTAAGCCTCCATGGGATGTCTACAGGGTCCTTGGGTAGGATAAACAATTTGTGTTCAACTCCTACTAACCCAAAGATTGGTGGTTTATACCCACCCAGTAGTGCCAACAAAGCAAGGTCTGGCAATCTGCTTCCTTAAAGATTACAGCCAAGAAAGTCCGATGGAGTAGTTCTATTCAGTAACACATGAGGTCACCATAAGTCAGAGTTGCACTGAAGGCAAAGTGGGTTTAGAAATTTAGGGGTGGGGGAGATATGTATAAGTCTCAGAGGATGCTTACATGAAAAGAAAATCAATAGCCTTAGCTCAGATATTCATGATTCCTAGTTCCTCCCATCTCTTGTCTTAGGTAGAAGAATGACAATATAATAATAGTAGTAACAATATAGTAATATGCTAACAATAACAGCAGTGACCGAGTATCGATCTCTTACAATGCCAGGACACAGTACTGAGGACTCTCCATGGATAACTCCAACAAATCCACACAACAAACTGACGACAACTCCATTACATCCCAGCTGATACAGTTAGAGGCTCAAAGAGAAGGTAGCGCGTACCCAAGGTCACGCAACTGGCAAGTGGCTGTGATGGTACTTACAATGCTAAAGGGGAGCTGGTATTTAGAATTCATCCTTCCTCTGCCGTAGCAGTCCAGCAATCATAAAGATGGTGCAGAACTGGAAAGCGTTTTATTCTATTATATGTAAGGTTGCAGAATGTGTGTGTGTTGTACAATAACTAAGCACCATGAGGCGGGCCTGTGTGGAGGGCCACAGCTGTAAAGTCATCCTTAGCAAGTGTCCCCAGGGCAGCTGAGTCTCATGAGAGCAGGGACTCCGATCTGTGAGCAACTGAGAAAGGCCTGGGGACCAGCTCCTCTGTAGTTCTGCTTTGGGTCACTTCTGATCCCTTTGTGTGCCAGTCTGTCTGTATTCTTGGACCAGCTCTAAGTCTGAGCTTCTCTGCTTACCCATCGCCTTCATCCTTCTGTGACTGCTGACTTCCTCCTCTGCCTCCTGTTTACTTCAGCTCCCACTGCCAACTGCTTCACCCTCTCAGAATTCCCTCGCTCGTTCAAACGCTTGAGAGAGATCTGGGTCACTCAACCAATGCTGTGTCAGACCACTTACAGGTTGGTTGGGTGCCTTGGCTGAGAGGGAGGAAGAAGGGGGTCATATTACTATACATCATGGCTGCCCAAAGGCCATCAGGGTTTGCGAGCACGTAATCCTGGGCAATTGCCCTTTTCAACATAACATCGCAGGAGTCTTCATCCAGGTCTCAGACTGTCGTGGACGGAAGTACTGCTGTCACTTGCCACTCCAAATCCTGGTGGTTAGGGTAGGTGAGACAGATTATTGGCTGCTCTTCCTTGATGGAAAGGCAGTATGTAAAGAATAAAATCATCCACTCTTAGGATAAAGCTTGTTGGGTCCTACAAGGGAGGGATGGTGGTTTGTTTTGCACATTGCTATGTTCCAGGGACCTACGTTCGTGGCTGGCACAGAGGAGGCCCTTATGAACGCATGCTGGCTGAACGAGCGCATGACCGAATAGCACTGCAGCATCCAGCAGCTCTCACGCTGTGCGTCAGGCATGGGAAATGGAATTCCCATGCTGCCTTTGGTCCTGCCCCCAAACAATATTAATACCATCCTCACCAGAACAAGCTGCAGATGGAACTCTAGAGGCAAACCACGTATGATTTGCTTAAAAGCAAATACACATAGTTTGGGGTCATCTGCTGGTTTCAATTCTTGCTAATAACTGAAAATTAATTGTGCGGCCTGGGAAGAGGCTATTTCAAGAATCCCCAACGAACAAAGATGCCAACAAGGAGGTGGCAATAAACCAGCGGTCCTCCACCAGGGGGGACTTTGCCGCCAGGGGACATTAGGTAATGCATGTCACTGCTGACAGCTGTGTGCGTGCACACACACACACACACACAAACACACACACACACGACATGCATTGGTTGGAGATGCAGCTAAACATTGTATTAAGCACAGACCGTCCCCCAGCATCCTTTACAACGAAGAAGTGCTTGGCCCCAACATGTCAGTCAGTCGTTGAATGAAGGCTGAGGAACCGACTTAAAATGACTGGGTCCATTTTTCATAGAAATTCTCATTTCCTGACACGGTGGCCTTCTCTTTCTTCATTGAGATGCTCAAAAGCAAGCGTGTTCCCAGCCTTTCCCCACATTTGGGAAAGAAGGGAGGACCGAGAAGAACAGCAGCATTTCTTTTATTCAAATTTTATTGGAAGTTTACAAATGTATTACAGATATCAGGAAAACATCATATCCATTTTACAGGGCACAGAGCTCAAGCAAAATGTTCACAACAGTCTCTGGCAGAGCCCACACCAAAGGCCTGCTGCAGACCTTCCCAACAGGTAGCTTTGACAGCTGACACACAACACAGCCTCTGGCCTGGTTCACCTCCCCGAGCCCTTTGAGGTCTTGTGGACACACTCAAAATGACAGCGGGAGAAGGGGAGAGCGGTCCTGCGAAGGAAAGAACATGTTGAGGAGAGAGAAAAACAGCCCATGTTCTACTGTGCCGAGGAAAGTGGAAGACACACAGGCCATTCGATGATGCCAGGGTCCCTGCCAGAAGCAAACCCCTTTGCAGAAAAATACGGCATCAGCTGTAGAGGCTTGAGAACAGACAGTCTGTCCTGGGCAACCCCTCACTCTCTCCACACATTTCAGCAAAGCTTGGTCAGCCATCTATTGCGTGTCAAATGGCCAAAGGCCCAGTGGGGCCCAGGGATGTCTCAGGAAGTTTTCAGGATAATGCTTTTTAAACGTTTCCCTCTTTTCCTTTTAACGGATTCACTGTATTTCAATTACAGAAATACCTTCCTAATACTACAAGGCTTCCCTTCTCCTTTCTCTGCCCCCACCCCCCCACCCCCAGGGGGAGCTAGTTTTGTCAGCAGGAAGTAAGTTTATTAAATAACGTGGCTCCCAGCAGTGAGTCGTGTTTTATGGGAGCCTTGTGTTGACTGGGATACTACGATGAGAAAATGTGAAAGGAATCCAACCCTGTCTTAATCGTGACCTTGATGACTACAACCAAATGGCCCAACAAGCTCTGTTGTGAGAAAGACCCAGAGGAGCAAGGCATGGGAGGTGAAGCTCCCTTGCCTTCCGGGGATTCCCTTGCATGACAGTGAACTTCAGAAGGCAGCCATGGGACACTGCCTTCAAATATCAGGCAGAGCAGGCAAGGCGGAGGAGCTCTGCACAGGGACTTGTGTCCACTGAGCCAAATTCAAGTCCCTTTCAAGCCCCTGAAGGAGCCGATCAATTGCTCAGAGCAACCCTTCTGGCATGAAGTATTCCGAGAACGGGTTCAGATGTCCACCTTCCCCTGCCATAGGAGACAGAGCTTCCTTCTTAGGGGTTGACATCTGGTTTCTGTTAGGCAGAAGCACACATAGCGCACTTCTCCTTGGGATCTAACGAGTTGTGTTATTTTAGGTTAAGAGGTGGGATTAGATGAGGCACCATGAGCCGCTATTTGACCTCAGCAAAAGCATGTACAGAAGGCTGCCTATAACTGGCAAGGAACATGGGATTGAAAAAAGGAGGCCAAAGAGATAGGTCTTCATCTGGTCTAAAGAGAACACCTTCCATTGGCACCCACCATCTCGAGCAGGGAGGGTCTCACCATTATTTGTGAATGGCCCTCCCTAAGGTCCCAGGGTACTACTGCTTTTATGGTTAACGGCGAGAGAGCCCAGGCTGGGCAGATGAGAGGAAACCCCTTTGCGCAGCGACTGATCAACTGCTCCTGGCTGGCTGGAGCATCACTAAGGTTGACTTAACAGCCATGGGGTTAGGTTAGGGTGGCTTGTTTGTTCTACCAGAGCATCCTGGTGGTGCAGTGGCTGAGTGCTTGATTGCTGACCAGAAGGTGAGCAGCTGAAATCTACAGGTCGCTCTGCGGGAGAAAGATGGGCAGTCTCCTGTAAAGATCTACAGCCTGGGAAACGCTATGAGGCAGTTCTGCTCTGCCCTGTAGGATCAATATGAGTCTGAAACCCTAGGCGCATCAGACACATGAGAAGTGGCCACGAGCAGGGGCCGACTTGCTGATAACGGGTAAGCAGGAGCTCCACTAGCTTCCCTCCATGTGCATTCCCAGTGAGGTGCCTGGCCAGGGTGTGGCGGGCAGGTAGGGAGACTTCTACACGGGTGACACAGATGGCACGCTCCTGTTTGCAGTCAGTTTGACCTTGAGGCGTGCCTCTCGTGAAATCTCAAGCTCTGGCCCCTAGCCCCTTTGGTTCGCTGGATGCTCCCTGGGCAGCCAGCTCAGAAATGGCTAATTCCTCCTAGGCCCTTCGGGGCCTGGCTATGTGTCAGTTTCTAGGCCAGCTTCTTCCCTTTGCTGACGGGGGATGGAGTTCTCTTGGAGAAAGGTCAGAGGTACCCTGAAGAGCAGGGTGTAGAGAGTTGCTTTCACTGGGAGAATTCTGTCATTGGATTTGGGGCCAGAGAGGACAGACTTATTTTCAGCTGTTTGCTAAGGGATCGACTTGCCTTTTCTCTTTTATCTAAAAATATCTTTTTATTCTTATCAATCAGAAAACTCAAAAATCCAAATTGGGCTCACTCAATTTCTACCAGAAACCTGCCACTTTAGAAGTGCGGTGTTAACACTTTATTTCTTAATCAATTTGCCAAGCAGTTTACACACTTACTATACAAACGTAATAGTTAATTCTCCAGAGGCTCAGATTAATTAATAAAGCACTTCGATATGAAGATAGCATGCGGAAAACAGCCACAACCAACATTTGCATTGCTTAAAGAAAAGTCAGTGACAATGACAAATGTCCTATTAATACCTGAAAAGCAAATTACTTTAATACATCCTGAATGGAGTGCCACTTCCACATCATTTTCAGCCTTCCTTTCCCCAGACCCACTTGGAATGGTGTCTGAACAGTCACTTTTCACGTTCTCTCCATAAGAAAATACTAGAAAATGTTAACTACTATACTGAAAAGAGACCACGCTCACCTCACTGTGGCAGATGGCCACTGAGACACACTGGGTAGGTACTACATCGACAGTATATCTCACTAAAGGTGGGTCCTGGTGGGTTCTTTCACCTGCCACAAGCCGTTAAGGGGACGAGGAAACTGGAAGAGAAAAGCAAGTGCTTCACTGTGAACTGAAGCAAGGTAGGACGTTTTTCTGAGTATAAACAGTACAACCGTTAAACGTCTTCTTTAAGCAAACTCACTTTTGAGCCCATTTCTCTGTCTGATCAACAGTCCTCAGTGTTCAAAATGGAAATTCCCCTCTCAAACAAAGCCAGCCTTTCAACGTCGCTGCGGTTAAATCTCCCGAGCCGGGCTCCGCCTTCTGTGGGAAACCCAGAAACTCAGCCTACTGAGCGTGTGACACTGGGCTCTGTCTGTGGGCATGGGGGGGCCGTGTGGAGCCTCACTTCTCTAGCTCCCTTCCCAGAAGTTTCTCTTGTCCGTGACCTTCTTTCTTAGTCCTCTTTGGCTTGGACTCTTGACCTACTTTCTGTTTTCAAATCCCCTTGCTCCTTCCTCTGCATCCTGGACTTGCAACGGAGATCCCACGTGACTCCCCAGCCCCCTCCGCCCACAGAACCTTCCTGGCCCTCAAGCCCAAATGCTTAAGAGTTCATTTGCTTGGAGGACAATTGGTTGCCAGGCTAAAAGGCAGTGTCAGTCTGCCTCAGTAAAGGAAAGCAGATAATACAATCCAGGAAACATGAGCACCAGAAAATAATGCCACATTCAAAATAACGTCATGCTGACATCACACAATGGCACCACTCACAGTCACTTGAATTGTCCCCAAGGGATAGATCAACAGTAAGCAACTTCAATGTTCCCAGCAGGGATGGCGTTTCTCACGGGACTTTACTGACACGGGTTAGTTTCTCTAATTGGCAAAAGGTACACTTGCAAAGGATGGAAAGAAGAAAAAGGCAAAACAAATGACTATCACTTTGTAGAGAATAAAGTCTACTGAGGGTGGGCGGAGTCTTAAGGATAGCTCCTTATGCAGGAATGAAGCATAAAAACTTTAGTATAAGAATTAGAAAAAAAGAATTTTTTTCCAGCCACAAAAAAAAAAAAAAAAAAAAAGCCAAATTGAAAGTGTTCCTTTGAAAAAGGCCTCACGGACATGTAACAAATTTATATAGAAAAAATAAAATTAAATTAAAAATAGAGGTGGCCCTGGCCCACCTTTGAAGACTACCACTCACAGACAATGCGGAATGTGCATGCAAGTCCCCACTGAGTCCTATGATATAGAAATTCCTTTGATATTACAAAATACAAAAATATTTTTATCAGAACTCTCATTTACATTGCATTTACAATGGACATGTAAATAACTTAGTCTTGGGTCCTGGCTAATAAAACAAATTACTTACTGGAAAAAAAATAAAAAATAAAAGAGGGGCGGGGATTCCTAAGAGTGAGCGAACCAGCGAAGAGTACAAGCTAGCAGAAAACAGTTTTGGCCATCTTGCGAGCGCGGCAGCTCCCCATGGGCCTGGTGGGGGAGGAGGTGACCACCCCTGGCCTTGAGATTGCCTAAAGTGTTTCCAAAGTGAAATGTGCAAATAATATTCAACATGCCTAGCGACTGTGGCTTCCTTTGGGGTCCACCTGTAATCTTGCCTCCACCCACGGAGGGTATTCCTCCTCCTCCCCCTCCTCCCATCAACCCCTCCCAAAGCACTTCCAAAATTTAAAGCAGGGCAAGTTCCTGATTTTACATTCTTCCGCTTCCATCAGCCCCCAGCCCCCACCCCTCGGGGCAGATTACGAAATGATGCAGTTTTTGCTCTTTTGTCTTTTCCTGCCGTGCATCTGTCCTCTGGCCCCCAGCGTGGAGGACTTGGGGAGGCCGTAGGAGCTGTACTTGTGCAGCAGCTCGTCGCTGGTGACGTATCGCAGGCGGGCGGGCTGGGGGATGGGCTCGCCCAGGAAGTAGCCCTCGTTGTCGGACTCAGAGGAGGAGGAGCAGGTGGAGCACCAATCGTACTCGGCGAGGTAGGGGCCCCAGCGCTCTCCGAAGGCGTTCTGCAGCGCCAGGTCCGACACAGTCCTCGGGCACTGGCCGTACAGGTCCCGCCGGGAGCCGGGGCCCAGGCTCTCCTGGAAGCTCCGCTGGCGCAGGAAGTGGTCGTAGTCCTCCCGGGCTCTCAGGGGCGGCCTTTCTCTGAAGCGGCCCAGGGCCTCGCGCTCGCCGGCCAGGTGGAGGGCGTTGTCGGAGCGCGAGCGCCGCGAGCGCCGCGAGCGGTGGGGCCGGCAGCGGCGGTGGTCATCGCCGCGCGAAGTGGCTCTTCTCCGGGTGCGTTCGCTCAGGGGCTGGATCCTCACCCCGTCCGGCCCGGGCAGCTTGCTGCCCGCCATGCCGCCGTCGAAGTCAAAGCTCTGATGCATCCGCCCGTGGGCTGGCAGGTCTCGGTACCCGATGGGGTTGCCCAGCTGGTGCAGGTTCCCCTCCATCTCCTGGTACTGCTGGGCCGAGAGCAGGCTGCGGACCGACTCGGCGCTCCGGAACTGCATGGAGGAGTTCAGCGTGCCCATGTTGCTCAGCTTCTCCGACACATTCATTCCTGAGTCTTTGCTGAGGTCGGGCATGGAAAACCGGGACAGGTGCTCCTGGCGCTTGGCACCGCCATCAGCGGAGAGGCCTGCGGAGAGAGAGGACAGGATCACAGCAGGCCGGGCAGCCGTGGCGCCAACGCAGGGCACCGTTCTGGCTGCCCTCCGTCTCTCTAGGGTCACTGGCACCAAGGCGCTCCGAGGGCCGGGAGCGCGGGCGCTGTGAACCCACCAGAGGGGCGACGTCCACCTAGAAAGGGGCACAGCCTTAACATGCATGCTGGTCCTCAGAGAGGCATTTTACTACTTACAAATCCCGCCAAAGGCTCATAAAAGTTACTTAGTGCTCGTTTTGGATGGAATGCACGTTTCCCTCTTTAAGGCTCTCACTTTACAAAGGGATTCAATGACCTCTGAGGATCATGAAGAACTGTAAGCTACATAGACAAACATTCTGGAGAGGGAAACCGGATGCTATCATGGCCAAACAGTTCCTGCCAATCTCGGGACGAGAGCCTGTGGTTAGCTGCCATCAAGACCGCTCTGGCTTGTTCTGACCCAAGTACCTGGTCCTGGGCCATCTTCACCATCCTTAGTACACTTGAATCCACTAGCTATTTTTAGTACCTTCCACACAAGAAGGCCCTCTTCCAGCACTACATTGGATACAATCTGGTTGTGACCCATAGGTTTTCATTGACTGAGCTTTGGTAAGAGACCTCCGGCTTTTCTTGATAGTCTTTCATAGTCGGGGAGCTCTGCCGAGACTCGCCCACGATGGGAAGTAGTTGAAATACCAGTGACAGAGCTTCCAGTAATCTAGCAATGGCCAATCTGACCCAGCAGGCCAAAATGACTGGCAGGTTCTAGAGTCTAGCACTCCATGTTGGGCGTTTTCACTGCTGTCTCTAAGTGGCACATAGCAGCCAGCCTCAAATGTCTTGGGTACTAAGTGGCTCCTGAGAAATAATTCAGGCTTCTCAGAGGGCTATTTTATCTTCTCAGGCTGAGCGAATCACTGCTCCAGTGTTCTAAATGGGCCTCTGGGCATCTTCCCCTTCCCCTGGGGAGGCATTTTGAAAAATACTTCATTGGCTCCTAGCAGTGGGACTGTGTTTCTTAAGTGGCGTGAAATGGGCTCCAGGTATCACTGAGGGGCAAACCATTTTGAAGGCAATGGGGGATCTTGACCCTCTCTAGTAACGTCCATTGAGCCCATCTTAAAGCAGCGCTCTCTGCGGAGGGCGATCCAGGAGGCCAAGCCTCAGCACGCTCCCACTCACTGTACCTTCAAAGGAACAGCAGCGTTGCCATTTCTGGTTGTAGACAACATGGCCTGGGCTCATTATCAACCCCGACACTGATGGTTCCTCCCCATCTTCCGAAGCCAACAGCTTTCTCTCTCCACCCAGAAGCCCAAAGCCACGCAAATGAGCATGTTGGAAAAGTACCTGGTATAAACCACACAACGTATATACTTGTATACCTCTCTGAGTATGTAGTAAAAGTTTGGATATCACCACCCTGGTGGTGCAACAATTAAGTGCTCGGCTGTTAACTGAAAGGTGGGTGCTTCAAACTGCCAACCGTCATATTAGTGGAACACCAACTGTAAGCATCACCTAGCACCTGCATGGAAGTGAAATCTTAATAGTTTTTGTAAAATTTATCTGCATCTCAATAGTACAGCTTTAAAAGGTACTGATGCTCATTAAAGTTGTCAATGCTAAACAATGGATAAGGCTTTGGAGCAACTGTCCTGCCAAACAGGATACTTACTCTCTAGTAATTTATGTTTTAAAATTTCATTATTTGGGTCATTTTCGGGGCCAGAGGAAGGGGTTCCCTCAACCCCTGCTCTCTCTGTTGCTTATCTCAGAGACACAAATTACACAAGCTGATTTCCAACAGTCTAATCACTTCCAGCGCTGCCCCAATCCGAAGGCAGAGTGAGGACATCAGCCTCGCGTGATGAATGCGGAGCCAGAGTGGATGAACTCTACTAAGGCAGAAAGAGGGGGGAAAACCCAAAAAACCAAACCACCAATCTTCACAATCACAGCTAGCAACAAAAGTCCTCTCTGGAGGCAGCCCCATGGCCTCTGTGAGTCTTTCTACCCTTGCCTTCCAATGGAATGAGAGTCAGCATAAATAAACTTGCCAGCTATCAAGAAGTCACTCACTGTCTTGAGTCGACTCGGAGAGACACCGGCTGCGTCGATCAGAGCAGAACTGTGATCTACAGGGCTTTCAAAGGCTGAGTTTTCGGAAGTAGATTGCCAGACCTCTCCTTGGAGGCACCTATGGCCGCCCATGAACCTCCAATGTTTGGTTAGCCACAGAGAGCATTTGTACCTCCAGGGATTCCAAAAATAATCTAGCAAATATAACTTCCCAGACCCTTTTCCCAAACCTGTCTTCCATGAACTCCAAAGTGTAGCACTTCCGAGGACATCTCAGGTGGAACAGTGTCCTATTTCAATGAGGAGCTAAACACACACACACACACACACACACACACACACACACACACACACAGAGCAGCCTCCCATCTGCTTGGAGAGGTTCTTGCCCTCTCCCATTGCACTTCTTTGCGTTGGGACATCCCAGGACACCCTCAACCACCTCCCCTAGAAATGAAAATGCTCAGACAAGAACAGGGGAGCCCTGTTTACCATCAGCGTTACCCAAACATAAGCTAGTCTCCCGTGGGACCGTGTGGATGGAGTGGAAAATACCTGTTCACTCCAGAAAGAGAAACACTCACAACTTCTTATTCCCCAATTCAGACTTTTCTTGCGCACACGTCAATGAACCCCTTTGCTTTCTGCAGCCAACGTTGTTCACAGATGAGCAATCGCTGTGTACTTGCCTCCACAAAGGGTAGTTCTGTGGTTAATTTCATAGTTGGCAAAATGAAGAATTCTTAAGTAGACACAAGGCCCTACATGACTTGGCTCCTGCTTCGCTTTCTCAGATCATCAACGGAACATTCCTTGTTGCTCCCTCTGCTTCAGCTGCACTACATTCCTCCTCCTCCTCCTCTAACAGACCAAAGAGCTCATCCCAGCTCTTCTTGGAAAACCCTTCTCTTTGCTGGGCTAACTTCACCAGATCATGAAGGCCCTCAACAATGATGTTCCCCCCTGCCTTCCCTAAACACTCCTTACTAAAGTAGCAAAGTTGTTCCCCCAAACCAGTCACTCTGTAGTACTTGTACTCAGGTACCCACTAGATGCAGCCTGACTTAAGTCTACAGGTAAGTTGGTCCCTACATGGATCCCTCTGGAGAGCAGGGGAAAGGAGCCCTGGTGGCCCAGTAGTTACCATAAGCACTTACTCAGTTGCAAAAGGAAAGGTCAGTGGGTAGAACCCATCACCCACTCTGCAAGACAAAGATGTGGCTGTAGAACGGAGGGAGAACTGCCTGATTCGGGGACATTTCTGGCCTGGGAAACCTGTGGGAAAGCTCTACCTTGTCCTTAGGGTCTCTATGAGTCACCATTGACTTGACCCCAATGAGCATGAGAGCAGGGATTTTTATCCCTAATGTGTCCAGCTGGGTATAAAACTGAACCTGGCCCTTCCAAGGCTTTCTCTCCCATGCTTCTTGCTCAGACTCTCTCCACCCCCCACACCTTCCCAGGTGGGTCGGAAGCCACGTCGCTCCCTTTATTCAAACTTGCCAATCAGGGAACTACATGATGTTCTCCCAGCGTCAGCCAGAAGTCTCCAGCCCTGAGAGTGTATTTGTGGTGCCTTGCTGCGTGTCAGTACTACTCTTCCCATCCTCAGAGTCTTCTGACAGGGTGTGCTTCCCAATAAAGCCTATTACTTGATGCCTGCGTTTCAGCTCGGATCTTTTTCTATCCATCCCTCTTTGCCCCACACCTCCGAGGTCCTAGCACAGCACCTGGCACCCGTTTGGTGCTCAATAAATATTTGGTAAGTGAACAAAGATAGCTGATTCCTCACAGCTAGCAATTACCCTTTGACCTTCACAAGTCCAGAGCTCAGAGAATAACTGACTATAATCCAAACGAGTGGGACTCCAAACATCAGGAACCAAAATACCATGATCACACCTGCCAATCTCACCATCTCTTGTGGTTCATTATACGGCACACCATCTGGGGTTTCTCCAATTTTAAAGTCGCAGGACAGGAGATTTATAATTAACTCCCCAATCTGCAAAAATGTTCTGCCTTATTAATCACAACTCTGGAGATCTACTTAAATTAGCAGCTCCCAGGTTCCCAAGATGAAATGGTACGATCTCAGCTCCCACCTGATGAGAAAACCACTCTCTCTCTCTCTCTCTATTGAACTAGAGAGCTATTTCCTGGCTTAGTGACTTGGGGCAATTTTGGAACTGCTCAAAATGCATCTGCAAAATGGGGAGAAAAAGTGATAATGAGCTGTGATGGTCCGATGAGGTCCAAAGTACGATTTAGTGCCAACACTCCTCAGGACTGTAAGGAACATGTGTAGATTGCTTGCATGCGCTCTTGACAAACTCTAAGAGGGCAAAAACTACAGCCTCTTTGCCAGCACAATCTCTGTTCCTTGAGACTCTGGATGGTGCAAAGGGTTGGAGTTCAAACCCACCCAGAGATGCCTCAGAAGAAAGGCCTGGCGATCTGCTTCTCCAAGCTCACGGACTTGAACTCCCATGGAGCGCAGTTCTCTTGGTGCCCCGTGCTCCTCGGTATGGGAGGAAAAGTGGAGCAAGGCTGAAACCTCCCCAAGAGAAGAAAGGATGACCAAGAAGTTACACCCTGCCAACTAAAGGCCAAATGTGTGTTGAGTGCATGACTGTGAATGAATGTGTCAAAGGAGCAGGGCACACAGAGCCTGGCGGATAGCACTGTCCACTGCACATGAGCCTCTGCTGTCAATCATGTCGACCTCCAAATAGAGCTTGGTGCTTCTTTTCTATTCAGATGACCTTCAATTCTTCACTCCATTTGCTTATTGAGAACCAGCCCATGTCAGCATGTTGCAATGCAGTATTGCCCGCCACATGGCGCTCCAAAATGTGACTCCCCTCTCCTGCACCTAATGCATCTTTTCTTGCTGCCCAAGCCAT